TACACAAAGTCACCCCAAGACAAACTCCTTAATAAGCAAAAATTGAATTGGTCCTGCCTCTGTTGTTTTATCATTTTTTTTTCAATGAAGAGGCAAAATTATAACATATCTTTTTATAAAAGCAAAACCCATGATATTTTATGCTTAAAAGATCCAGTCATATTTGTTGCTGCTCTTTTTACAACAGAAACCATAGAAATGGAAACAAACTAAATGTCCCTCACCTAATGAATGGATAATGACAGTGTTGTATAGTTATACAATGGAGTCTACACAGCGATAAGGAAAGAAAAAATCATGAAATTTGCAGGTAAATGGATGGAATCAGAAACTATTATACTAAGTGAAGTAACATAGACTCAGAAAAACAAGTGATGCATGTTCTGTCATTTGTGGACTTAAAAGCCTACTCAATGAGAGGGAATGTCTATAGTACTATAAACGGCAAAATACACATGGCTGGAGATGTCACAGATCTTAGAGAAAATCTGCATTTGTATCTGTAACATTCCTAGACAAATGTAATTTCTTGCTATATGCTAAATAGGTATCCTTAATTTACAGACAAGTATACCTCCTACCACTCATCAAAGTATCTCCTTTTTGCAACAGATGGAGACTATTACAAAGTTCTATACCTGGTCACATAGAGAGTGTCTGTGAGATGTCCAGCCCTAAATGACACATCTACAATGGAACCTCTACTCCCAAGACTCATGAAACAGGGAACAGGGGGCAGAGAGATTATTAATGCAGCTCTCAATATTCACCAGCTAAGGTTCTTCATGTAACAGATGGTGATTAGCACAGAAAACTACAACTGGACAAAATGTAGAGAATAAGAAGACTACAAAGTATGTGTCCCTGGATTAGGTCTCTGACATTAAACCTCTACCAGGCCAGGATTACGGACCATTGTAGAAGAGGGGACCAAGAGATTGTAAGAGCTAGGGCTCATGGAAGATCACAAGGAAACAGGTTTCCAGGTGGCTAGAAACTTACTCATATGAACTTACAGGAATGGTAACAGCATGCACAAGACCCACGCAAACTCAAACCAGACAAAAATTCCAGCATAGCAGTGAGAAAATGGGTAAGAAGCCCCAACCTTAGATGAAGAACTACTGACAGCTGATCCCTACTGGGTGAGGGAGAGCTGGTCTTCTGGAGAGCTGGTCTTCTTTAAGGGAGTGATGCTAGCTCACACCAAGGGATCTGGGGACACAAACTTGGCTCAATAGGCTTTAATATATATGAAAGAATGCATGAAATCTGGTGGGAGGGCTATGGGGGGATACGGATAGGAGAAGGGGAGTGAAGATAGGGGAGGGGATCTAAATATGATTAAGGTGTTTTGCATGAAATGCACAAAAATTCAATAAAATACATATTGAAAAAAAGAGCCAGTTTCTTGGCTAAAAGTCAAAATGTCCTTGGGCCTCTTAGCAACAAACTCTGTTCCAAAGGACAAAAATGTCAAAAGTATTTGGGAGGTCTTATCTAATCCTAAAAGATTTTAAGGTTACCTCTTCATGAGGGGGAAATGTTGCAGGGGAGGGAGTAGGCATGCATTTGCTAAAAACCTTATATGCATGTGTGAAATTGTCAATAAAGTTCTTGTAAAAGTTAAAAAATAAATCATTCATTACAATCTCAGTCGCATTCTGAAAATTTAAACTTAGCAATACCTCTTCTGAAGGCAAAGTCATATTTTGTAAACCAACTGTAAGATCAGGAATAGCACTAAACTTTAGGAGA